AGAGCATGCTCAACTCCCTGAGTTCAATCCCCAGCACCACAAAAAACAAAAACAACAACACAAAGAAGTATCTGTTATGTAGCAATATACATGAGCGCCCTGGCCTATCTAAGCTTCTCTGCCCAACCACAGTGATTGGTCCAGGGTAGTTGGTCCAGGGTCATTTTGGGATGGGGGAGTAGGATGCTAGAAAGGATCCTGCCTCTGGTACTATGATCCACTAGGGCCTTGCTCAGAACCGTAAGGCAGTGGGAAGCCACCTGTCCTTTCATGGTGGGAAGAACGAGGCCAACAGACAGAGGGATGTGTGCTGAGTGGAGACAGTGAGGACAGATCCCTGAGGACACGCCAGGCAGGATGGTCCTGGCTGCTTTCTCAGAAAGCAGGTTGAAGTGGGGTTTTTGTCCCTGGAAGGTAGTCACCAAGCAAATGTGTGGCTCACAGACCTGAGCCTGCTTCCCATCCATAAAATAGGGCCAGAGAAGCCCCCCATCAGCAGCACCTGCCTGCTCTTGGCGCAGGCAGAGTGAAGGGCGCATGCAGATGTGGAGCCTGCGCGTGACCCTCCCCACCTCCATCTTCCGCCAGGGATGCTTACCCAGTCTGCTGCCAGCACTCAAGTGTCATCTTTCCTCTTTCCCTCAGCCTCGGAGCAGAGGACCCTGCCTATTGGCACTGGAGGTGTGGAGACTAAGGCACAAAGAGCCCTGGTAACACACCAGGTCCCACATGCTGAGCCCAGACAGAGCCCAGTGCCCAGGCTGTAGGGAGGAGTTAGTTCTAGGAGGAGCCATGTTACCTGGGCAGATCCTCACCCCAAGCCTCATCTGTAAAACAGGAGACCACCAAACAGCTTCCCGAGGCTCTGTTTGGCGGGGTCTTGCTAGCCTTACAGACCATTGACAGCCACCCCCAGGAAACTTCAGGAAGACCTCTCTCAAGGGTGCCAGCTAGGCCCAGCCTGCTCCTGTAGGCAGCAGGTGTGACTGTGGCAGGCTGGCAGAACCTTTCTGTTCAACCTTTTTCACAAGGAGGTAGGGAAAGAATCTGGAGCTCAGAGAGCAGAGGGAGCTTACCCAGGACTGACCAGAGGATAGGTAGGACGGGGCCAGGACTGGGACAGAGGCAGGACTAGAGGAGCACGGAGCTGGTCAGGGCTGAGCGGCCACTGGATGGGGGTGGAGGGGGAGGGGAATCTGGGGAAAGAAGGAGCCAGGCTCTCAGGCTTCTCTGGTGACCAGGCACTAGGGGCTGGCCCTGCTTGTTGGGCAGGTGCCGGGCATCAAAGAAGATTAATGGGCTTCTGAGCATTAAGTCTCAGGTTGCCCTTGACCCTGGGAACCTTCTTACCTCCCAGCTTAGCTAGGAGCAGCTCCTGGCCAATGAAAACAGAGACCCTCCCCCCACTTGGAATTCTATCCTGAGAAGGGAACTTCCTAAAGCATGTTAATGAGGCGTAATCCTAATGGCCCAGTGACCTTGGACTGGACGGTTCCCTTCTTTAAGCCTCAGTTTCCCCATCTCTAAAATGAGAAGTCAGGCTGAACCTTTTCTGAAAAGTACAAATTGGAACTTGGGTTGTGAGTGTGTGTGTGTGTGTGGGGGGGTGAGATTGTGATTATTTACATTTACAAATTAAGGGAAATTAGAGAATAGATATGTGTTCATTGTAGTAAATTCTGAAAATTCAGAAAAAAACATCAAAAGGCAGGAAGAAGGACCACTCATTACCTAACAGCCCAATAGCGGCCATGTGAAGGTCCTGGGAGAGGAGGAGGAGACAGGGAACAGCCCCAGACCAGACTTTGTCCCTCCTGTGCCCAGTCGCATGTCCCCAGTGGCCTGGCATGCAGCCAGCACTCAGCAGTGTTCTGTGAGTTCTGCGAATCTGTCAGGGTAGCTCGCTGTATGTTCCCATTCATCATTTCTAAACCAGAAGTTGGTGGCTCCCAGGGGCACTCATCTGCCATTGCCAGGTAGGACGTCCCAGTGGTCAGAGCCTGGCAGGACAGGGGAGTGACTCCAGACAGGGACAGCACTCCAGTCACCTCCTTTGCTCCTACTTGCATGAGGCCAGCTAGGAGAATTAGGGACACCCACGAGGGCTCCAAACAGGCTGGCAGAAATGGTTTTGGGAATATTCCCCCCCCCCCCTCCCCCGAGATCCAGCTCACTGGAGCTACAAGTGAAGGTTACTTTTCATTTTTAAAAAAGTTCTTTTAGTTTTAAAAAAGTAAACAATTTCAAAAAGAGAGGAAACCCATGATGAGTCCTTCGTGCCTCCTTGTCCTTTACCCTTTTGCAATGGAACATTCTGGAGTTGGTCCACTGTGAAAGGTTTTTTAGAATGAAAAATCTCATTTTTCTATGGTGTGGAAACTGAAGTCAAGAAGAAAAAAAAAAAGCATTTAATTGGGTGGCAGGTGTAGAGTGTTTGCCTGGCATATGCAAGGCCCTGGGCTCCATCCCTAGCATTTAAACACACACACACACACACTCACACACACACACACACACATACACACACACAAATTAAAAAATAAAGAAAAACAAAAAGCAATTTACATTTCTACAATTATTGTGCAATTAAGGAAAACACACCAAGCCAATTACCCCATCTCCACTAGCAGGCTTATGCCTGGGTCTCCTCCTCCCAGGCCAAGAGGGCCTGTGGGTGTAAGTGGTGAATTAGGGTGGTTGAAGAAAGCTTGGTGGGCGAGGCAGTGCCCTAGAGCTAAGCCTCCTGCCCATGCCAGACCCTCACCTTCCCTTGGGAATTTCTTGCAGCACATGTGGTGGCCATTTTACAAAACAGAACACTGAGACACAGGGCTTCAAATCTGTCACAGTCTCTTGCTAGCCCTGGGGGGATGCAGAGCCATCTCACCCTTCAGATGAGAACTTCAAGGCTCAGCACAAGGGTGCCCAACCCTGCCCAAGGGACCACAAGGCCTATCAGAGGACGGCCCATGTAGTCTGTTGTCTATTGTCACTGGTGCCTTTCTCTACAGAGCCTCAGTTTCCCTCCCTGTGTGTGACTGGTGTTGCTGGGCTTTCCAGAAACATGCTATACAACAAGGGGCCGTATAAAAATGGATGGGACAGCCCAGACTGTGGTTCAGTAGGCCCCGGCTCCATTTCCAGTTCCTTCCTGCTGCTTCTGAAGGTAGTTTTGGTGGCTAGTGGGTGTGCTGAGGCACAACAAGATGTATGGCTTCCTGCAGAACACAAAAGAAGTCCTCACGCCACCTTTTGATCCCCTAACAGGACAGATGGAGGCCCAGGGCCAGAGGCCTGGCTTGTTCAGAACACGCAGCTCCATGAAGATTGGAGTTGCAGCAGGCCCAAGGACTGATAGAAGCCAGAAGGGATAAGGAAGAACGTTTCCCTAGAGGCTTTGGAGACACATTCCTGTGCATACCCTGATCTCAGACTCTGACCTTCTTTCAGTGAAATAATAAATATCTGTTGTTAAAAGACACTCTGTCTGTGGTCCTTTGTTTTGCAGGTCTAGGAAATATACACGCCCTATATGGTCAGGTGGTTACAGAGATTGTGCTGGTAAACAGCATAGATGTTCATTGTTTGGACTCCTGGAGGCCCGAGCCTCAACATGCTAGTATGAGGAGCCACAGACAGACCAGAATTTTTCCACCCCACATAGCTCCATCCTCAATTCAAGAGCCGCCCCCAACCTCCCCTCCCAGCCCCACCATGTGCGCATAGGCTGCTGCCATCACCTGGCAGTGCATGGGGGAGGGAAAAGGAACCCTGAGAGGGGTCCACACAGAACCAGGTGGTGGGCTCAGAGCCAACTGTCAGGGAATACTGGGGACCTAAAGTGTGCTCTGGTGGGGGCTGGGGGAGCAGCAGCCCTATAGATGCTCCTCTCCTTCCCCAGGTGGCAAAGAGGACACACATGCTTGATTATGCGTGAAGGAAATTGAAGAAAGCCATCATGTGTGGCCTACAAGCCCAAGTGGAAACAAGATATTAGGGGATGACACCATGCCTGACGGGCAGGGTGGGGAGCATCTCCTTCAGTGTACTCAGAAAGAGAGGGGAGGACTGCCTTGCTGGACTTTGCTCTGTTTCCACCAGAACATCCACCCCTGCCTGGCCCTAGGGAGCCTGAGAGCCTGGGCCATCTTCCTAGGCTCCTCTGGCTACACTGAGATTCTGGCTGTCCCGGGGCTATTAAGCACATTTCCACTTCATTCCCAAGCTCCACAGAGGTGGGTCCCAGTTTAAATTTTGCTGGCTCAGGTCTTCCATGAGCAATCTCAATTCCTGGGGGCCTGAGACCCCCTACATGTTCCTGCTCACTCACAGGCTGCTGCAGGTGGAGTTGGGCTGAAGGGCATCAGGCAGGAGGGGGCAGGTCTCTAGGGGGGTGTGTGTGGCCCGAGCCAGACTCCAGGGGGTTGAATCCTGTTCTCATTAGCGAGGATTACTATAAGAGCAGCCTGCTCAAGGAGCCTTGGAGGGTATGGGTCACAGTGAACCAAGGGATGGCGTAGGGTCCGCCTAAGACGCGGTGAGACCCAGGGAGTCGGAGCGGGCAGGGGAAACAGGGGTTTGCTCTTTTTGCCTTTTGGTATCTGCTGAATCGCGCACCCTAAGAATGCAAAACCCTACACAAAAAATAAACATGGAAAACTATACTAAGAGAGAAGATGGGAAGAACCGGGCAGGAGGGGCCAGGTGAGGGTCCGAAGGGGAAAATGTGGGGCAGAAGCCCTTGAGCGACGCTTCCCATCTGAGGGCTTTGGCATATTGGGGCTAGAGTTCCCCCAGGTGGTCCCAATCCTGAGCCCCGCCTCCACATCTGGTTCCAGTCCCCGCCCCACCTCAAAGATAGGTGTGGCCTGATTGGTGGAAGGCGCCGCGCCCTTGGAGGGCGTGTCCGGGGCGGGGACGCGCTGTCGCCCCGCCCCTCGAGACACCACCCTTCTTCAGTCTCCGCCCCCAACACCGGCGAACCCAGCCGGCAGCCGGGGAGCGCGCAGGATGTGCGGGGCGCCCGCGACCCTCCGCGGCAGGGCGAGGCCCCGCGGGCGGACCGTGAGCGCAACGTCCGCCCCGGGGAACCGCACAGGTGAGGTTTGGGGCCACAGGGTCCCGAGGTGGGGCTCTGTTCCCTTTTCACAGACAGGGAAGCCGAGGGGCGAGGGAAGGGCTGCGGGGCTGCACAGCTGGGGCGGAGGGGCGCGTGAGTCACTTAGCCGACGGCCTCTCCGAGGACGCACCTTCCCGATCTTCCACCGGCCAGCGGGAGCCCCAGCGGGTCCAAAGCCTGGCAGCGAGTGGTTGGAAAACAGGCGGCGGCATTCAGCTACCTGCCCCGGGTCGGCACACGTGTTCCCATACGGTAGTCGCTCCGCGGACCCAGACGCCTGCGGAAATTCGAACTGGCCTCACCTGACGGGGCGCGCAGCCCAAGGGGCGGGAAGGACTAGCCGGGGCGCCGTCTCCGCGCCGGGAGGGTGTTATCTTCGGGGTTCCTTGGGTGGCCACTCCAGCTCCTCTTTACCAGTGGGGAAACCGAGCCTGAGACAGGAATGGCCACCCGAGGTCATCCAGCAGCGGGGCCAGGGATTGGCCTAGGCTCAGAGGCCCAGAGGTCCCTGGAAGGAAGGAAGCCAAAGTGTTTTAAAGTGTTACTTGAAGAATGTGCTAAAGGAGTTTCACCTTCCATGCACAAGGCACTGGGTTCGAATGGGATCTTTGCTCCCGGGATGCTTCTAAAAAGTCTAACCCCTTTCAGAAGTATAACCAAACCGGAACCCTGTTATCCCTGATGTTCCAAAACCTCACTTCAGTGGCCACTGCCCACCAGGGCTGGACCTGAGGGTCTTGGGCAATTCAGGCTGGAGCTGGGTTTTGCCATTTCCTAGAGGAGGAAGCTGAGGTTTGGAGTTGGGGTCTGGTTCTTGCTGTGCATTCAAGAGAAGACTTGCATCTGGGCCTCCTGGGTTTGGTTTAAATACCCATAGTCCCTAATTTGGAGTCCTAACCGCTTGGAGGAGTAGGAATCTAGGGCAAGGAGAGGTGGTGGGACTTACCCAAGGTCAGCCCAAGGCAAGGGAGTGGCTGGAGGTCTGATACTTTTGCACACAAAAGGCTACTTGCTAAGAAAATCAGTAGGGGGTCTCAGAGTTCCTCTCCTTTGTCTGGTCTGGCCCCAGTAACCTGCCCTTGCAGCTTGGTCACCTCTAAGTCGCCTGAGGGTCCTGGACTCTGTGAGCACTTCCTGGACATGAATCCCCTTGTTGAGTTTGGGGTTTCTCTGACCTGGTTCTCTCTGCACTCCAGTTTCCCCACGTGCTGAGTGGTACAGATAGTATACCTGTCCCCAGGTTGTGGACAGGCCAAGTGGCATCAGGGCCTGAAGCTCCTGTCCTCTTGGGGGTAAAGTGATGGCTTTACCTGATCTGAACTCTGTGGCTCTCTGCCGTCAGCCTCTGGTGCTGTGAAGTGAAGGGGTGGGGTTTGGGGTGTCGTGGAGACAGTTTAGCACTGTCTAAAACTGCATTTGGGGTGTATTTTTCCCCACAATCTGTAGAATGGGGCCATTACCATAGGCTTCCTAGAGTGGATAGGAGAGAGCAGAGTAGTCCGGATGGCTTGGCATCCTGAGGGTCTGTGGTCTTCCTATGGGTGGGGGAGGCTGGCTCCGAGTAGGGTTTATGTGTGTAAATGGCCGGCACCTGGCCCTGCTCCCAGGGCAACGCCTGCACTCCCTGATCTGGGAGGTTGTCCAGGAACACAAGGTTCCAGTGGCTGAAGACGACCCCCCTGGCACTCCTGGAAGGGACTGTGAAAGGTCTGGAAAGAGAGATAGCAGGAGGCCCAATGGACGGATGAAGGTATGCTCCGGATAGTCCTCTTGGCTTTCCTGTATAGCCACAGAGCCAGGCTGTGCCCATTTTACAGAGGAGAAACAGCCCAGTGGGAGCCAGTGTGAATTAAAGTGAGGCTTTCCTAACCCTGAGACCTGGCCTCCTGCTAGGGTGCCAGCAGAGCTGCGGGGTAAGCGGCCTAGCTCCCTGGAGCCTCAGCCTCCATCTCCAGGGATTTGGGGGGCACACCTTTCCTCAGTTGGATTCATCCTAGTTTTGTTCTGAAAGAGAGTGCACACTCTGGAGTGTGAGGCTCAGCCTGGGAGACCGAAAGCTTCAGGGGTTCTGAAGCTCGAGTCCACCCTCTATAGAGAAATGGGCTCAGAGAGGGCAAGTGACTTGCCTAAGGACACACAGCTGGGGTTGTGGACCTCCCACACTCAGTATTGGAGACACATGCTGTCCCTGCTGTTGGGTTTTGGGGGTCTTGCTCTCAGAGGAAGACCAAGATGTGCCTAAGTTGCCCTCTGAGTAATTTCTCCTGAGAAATCCCATTTTGCATTTGAAGAAACTGTATCCCAGAACAAGGTCTCACTGGCAGGTGAGGATCCAAGCCCGGCTGTGAAGTCCCACAGCCCCGAGGAGGCAAGGTCCAGTGGCCCACCTCTCCCCTCCCTATATCCCCACAGCCTCTGTCTGACAGCATCAAAGGAACTTATTAAAAAGGTCATGGTGTGGGGGCCTCTGGCTCTAGAAAGGAGGACAGAGGAACTGGTCCATGGTCCAAGGTCCCAGATAAAAAATTAACAAGTAAGGATCTTTCCCAGATACGAGGCCAGTCTCTGGAGGCAGGGGGAGGAGAAGGCTGGGAGGATCAGGGCCCCACCCATGGCCGGCCACATGCCCCTTAGCTGCAGCCTATGGGCTGGGCAGAGGTGTCAGGTGGGGCTGAGGGCCCTTGTGGGCCAGGAGGGTGGTCCTGCTGTGTCCTTCCGTCTTCACCTCCATCCTCTGAGACATGAGAAGGCCAGGCTGGGTCTTGTGGGTTCCTGTCTTTTTGTTTGCGTTAAACCCATACACTTCATTTTTTTTCTGTTGTTTTTTCTTCTCCTTGAAGATTTACTTCCACATAGTGAAAAAGGGGGGTCTCAGGAGTGCCTGAGTGAAACTGTACTAGAGCAGGACCCAGAGGGTGAGGGCTCAGAGGCCTGAACAAGCGAAGGACTGGGGGATACACAGTTTACAGTGTCCCTAAGGCTGTAGGTGCAGCAGAAGGATATCTGCCTCAGTGTGGCTCTGTTCCTCCAGTAGGCGAGTGCTTCCTCTTGAGCATGGGTTGTCTTCAAGGACAGTTGGGGAGGGAGCATCCCTGCAAAGGGCCTCGTTCTGGCATTTGGGCATTTTAAGTTGTGAGCAGGTAGGATTTGACCCTTAGGCACCAAGTATAGTGAGAGGGCTGCAGGGGCTCAGGGCAGGGTGGCCCTGGGTCTGCAGGATGTGGGGTTCGGTGAGGGGGTGGCTACAGGTCTCTGGGCTGGGGTGGAAGTCAGGGGTGGCCCTGAGTCTGCAGGCTGTCAGGGGATCTCTCTGTGAGCTGGTCTCTGTTGTTTGGTGGTGAGGAATGAAGCGTTGGTGGCTTCTCAGAACATCTCTTGGAGGGGTACAAGCTTCATCAACCACTGTGCTTCCTGCCCACCCCGTCCTTTTTGCCCGTGTCCTGAGAAAAGGGTCACCCCAAGGGGCCCAGTGACCAGGCTCCCAACTTGGTGCTGCTGGTGCTGGTCTGGGAGCCTTGGACAGGTCTGTGGCCCTCTGTTTCCTCATCTAGACAATATGCTCAGCCCAGAGGAAGAATGTGTTGCCCTCCCAGGCCTAGGGATGGGTACAGGAGACCCTGATGGGATCTGAGCTTTGGGGATCCCTGGGGACCATGGACTAGGGGATGGAGGTCCCAGGGTAGCTTGGACTTGGAGGGAGACCTATGAGGTGAATGTCCCCTGAGTACCATGAGTTTGGTGCCCTGGGTCCCAGCATGTCCTGAGGTGCTTGGGATGTGATTTAAGTCCCACCCTGGGCAATGATCTCGTGGGCCAGCCCCTGTCTCAGGCACTCACAATGTAGTCCCTCCTGTGACACTGGAAGGCAGATCACCCATTGTGCAGATGGGGAAACCTGGGGGACTTGAGGAATCCATGCCCAGGTCCTGGTGCTGGAAAGTGACAGGTCAGCATCAGACCCCAGGAGCCCAAGTGGAGAGAGATGGTGGGAGGCTCAGAGGGGCATTCCCAACAGGGACCTCTCACTGGCATCCAGCAAGTGACTTTGCCTCCCTGCACCTGGCTTGGCAGATGGGTTCAAGGAAGTGGGCCTCTGGGCCTCCCTTCACAGGTAGAAGCCTCCCGGAGACACACAAGGAGGCCTAGCAGGGCCATGAATGAGGCTCATCCTGCTTCCTTTCACTGTAATTTCCCCCAAATGTCTTTGTTTTATTTTTAAGGGAAGAACCATTCCAACAACTTGGCGAGGAGCTGGGGTGGTCTGCCTTGTGAGACCTGCCCCCGCCCCCTGGTTTGGCTGGCTAGAAAGACAGAGTCTGATGTCATATTCAGGACCCTGACTGCATTTAAAGCCCCCTTCCCCTTCTGAGTCTCCTGGAGACGGCCTCCGTCACCCCTGCTGGGTACCAGCCCTCTCTGCCCACCCTGCATAGACAGTCACCGGGCCAGTGTGTCCAGCTCGGGCTTGGGTTCCAAACTGTTCTGTGCTTTTATTGAAGTCTTTAATTGGAAGATACATCCTGGGGTTCTTACAAGTCTGCTAGCGCTGGCTGGTCCCCTTTCTTTGGTTGTGGGTCGATGACTTTACCTTCCAACCCTCAAGTTTGTGAGGCTCAGTGACGGGCGGATGTTCTGTCTTTCGAGATGTGTGGCCTCTGAGTTGTGGGTGGCTTACCTTGTGAGATGTGCCCTAGGACAAGCACCTCCCCACAGCGGAACCCGGCACAGAGCACAGGATGTGGCTGTTGACAGAAGAAGCGAACCCAGTTGGGACATCTCGGCGCCCCCCGCCTTCTCCCCACCGCACTGTCCACACCACTCTTTCTAAGACACTTAGGGGAAGTTGTTGGTTTCCTTGCTGGGGCCACAGTAAACTCGTCTAGGCCTTGCCCCACCTTGTCTGGTACGGCATTTTCATGTGGAGACACAGACCCAGGGCAGGAAGTGACCAGGGTCCCCTAGCTGATAAGGCCTGACCC